CGACGACGAAGCGGTCACAGTGGCGGTCGACGTCACGACGGCATCAGAAGCCGAGCTTGACGAGGCGGAAGAAGTGGGGGTCGAGCTGGCAGAGCTCGACACGCTAGAGGTCGAAGCACCAGGAGTAACGGTAATGTAGTGAGTAGTGGTGGTGGTGGTCCACGCGTTAGCGGCAGCAAAGAGAGCAGCGCTGGCGACAAAGTACTTGGCAAACTGCATTATGAAGAGGGAGTGGCGAAGTCTCTTTCCCAAACCATGGACATTTTATGAGAGACGACGACGGTCCACGTGCCTCTGAAATAGATAATCAGGATAGAACGGACAGAGCACCACTTGCCTTTTACAGAAACACGAGTGGAGAAAAATGCGGAATTGATCGAACATGCATCAAAATGCAAGCGACTGAGCTGCGCCTCCACATGTTATGACCTCAACCACCGCGCAACGACTCTCTCATTTCCTAGTGATCTGCCAGGGCAAGTCTGATGAACCTCACATAGCCAACTTAAATTGAACACTCTTCCATATATTCTATATTAGATTTGGTTGAAATGTATGAAAGAAAAGAAGTTGGAGGAAAAGCCACGCCTAGATTTGAAACTGTAAGACGGTAGAGCCCATTATCGAGAAATCTGTGTAGAAAAAAGAGAGAACCAAAATGGAGTATTAAGAGGGAGTATGTTCAATCGATCACGAAAAATTGATCTATGATTGGAGGATGTGCAGAGGATTAGGAGCATATGTGCTTGAAGTGAGAGAGTATGTCAAGGATATAACAGAACGCATAGGCCAGGGAGAGTGAATGTGTTGTAGTGTGGAGGTGTAAATTAAAATGGAAAAATAAACTCGCTCCTCACTCATCTCGCTAACATGCAAGCGACCCCATGGTGAAGAGACTCGCTATTACAACACCACAGACGAACATGTTAGCAGGTTCCATGACGGAAACATGAACAGGGTGTACAAGTATATGAGCAATATGACAGAATTGATGATGCCGAAACGCCTTTTATTTGCAGGAGACCCTATTAATGGGCTTACTGGATGAGGAAGCGAGTTGACAGCTCAATGGATGGAGAAGGATTCGGACATAGTGCACTCAATACGTACGAGCTAGCCAACTGGTGATAACATGGTGGCCACAGGGAAAGGAATCAAAAGCAATGGCACGATTGAGAAGGTGAGCTTCCTGATGGAAGACCCGTCGGAGTTTTGGGACGGCTACGGATTCTCTAGGAAAACGGGGCAGTGGCATGAAAATGTCGAAAATGGGGACATTGCTAGTCTGCTGGATAGCCGTAATGGCAGTGGCACTTTTGTAGAGTTGGCAAAAACTGTTTACAAATTTAATTTCTATCAATAGTGTGGTTATTGTAGAAGAGATGTTGAATTTAAAATGGAGTCAAGGAAGACTGGACCGATGTAACCGACCTACCTGTGAGACGCTCATGAAATGAAGAGGATAGACGCGTACAAATTCATAGAGCATACCTCGAGCCCGATGGTTATGGGCACGAATGAACTTGCCGGACCTATGTTGTCATGCCGAAGTTATGGAATCCAGCCATACAAAGAGACAATAAAATATGTGCAACTTGAGAACGACTGGGAAGAAGAAAAAGAGCGGGCGTGAGTCCCCGCGCTCAATTGCTGTGTTACCGCGCTACATTGGTAGTCGTAGCGATTGATTTACTGTGCGCGTTGGGAGCTGTGGTACACTTTGCGGTGGAAAGGTGTGATGCTGGGCGTTGTGCATCATGTTCAGACACCTGTGCGGCTCGATCGCGCGGTTGGCGAGCGTGCATGGAGGGCGAGACGGCATGGTCCGGAGCCACCTCCTAAA